AATCTGAATCTGAATCTGTATTAGTCAGTTCCTGCTTCTATCCTTATAAATTGTCTTATATAGAAAAAGTGTTGTATAAATAACTCTACTATATTTATATCATTATATCATGTATAGATACATGATATAACATCTTAAAGCAGTGGGTCCCAACCTCGGGAATGAAACACACATCATATCATATCAACTCCGCTAACTGCTAATGTAGCTGCTGTTAGCTGACCCACCCTCCATACTTCATTCTCTGTCATCAAACTGTCCTTTGATTTTTGTTTCATGTGGAAAAATATGTATCTTTGGAACAATCTATTTCCATCACTACAATCAATATCTACATTGTCTTTATCCAAAAAACATCTGAAGAGATCTCTAATTAGCAAAGATTCACAACACTTAATGGATCTTAATAAAATGTATTTAATCTGGTAAAATAATTGTACATTTCTCATATTTTTATCCGTTTCTCTTTTTAAAGTATGATTATATTTATAAGGTATCTTCAAACCTCTCCTGCACACTTCTCGTAGCAGTGACAAGTCGATTTCATGTGAAGTACTTATTTCACCTCAGCAGTCCGAGCAATCAGCTGAATCTTTACTCATAGAATACCTCATTTAAAAGTTCGATCCGACTTTCTGGAGGCGGGAGTTGCACTGCAGGTGTTTCGGTTTAACAAGCGGCCGTGTTAACTGGTGACTTTCGGGTGAATGCATCAGTGGTTACTCACAGTGATGGCAGCTGTTGGAAACACAGCGCTTCAGTTCGGGGTATATTCCTCCGATTCCTTTATGTCTTAAATTAAACTGCCAAAAAGAAGCATTCACCTGTCTGGAAGTTACTTTCAATGTGGGGAAACATACAGATTAGCAGAGAAGTTTATGAGGAATCGGACACTAATAAACAGGTGAGTTTGGTTTGTTTCCCAAATTATAAGAACGTTATGAGCAGTGTTGTTGTTGTTGTAATCGTGGAAGAAACGAGTACAACTGGATTTTAATCGTAAGTCTAAAGTTTGGGGAGAATAATTACTGTTGGCAGGGAGTAATAACTTTACTCTTCGCTTTTGAAAGGAGCACAGAGTGTTTAACGTAGATATTAAACAGAGTGTGTATGTAAAATTGATTAACTTTGACTTTACACTCATTTGTCCAACATAGGAGCAGAATAAAACCGGCTATGATCATCCAGTTGGCTGAGCTATCACTATATTATGGACCATATGTGGCTGCCAGATTGGGCTGTCAGTGTAATGACTTGTTCAAATTCAAAATGTACAGTCTATAAGCGCAACACACAGTTAGAAGGAGTTTGATCCAGCAGAGGAGCTTTGACCTGTTGACCTCTCAGTAAGCCAAACGTTATGTTGTTTACCATAAAAATGGGGGACTGTAATGAGCAGAAGCACGAAGCAAAGCCGCCCTGAACCAACAACCGCGACACCAAATCAACGGAGAAGCTGATTTGATAAATCTCACTCGCTAACGTTAGCTTGTCAACCCAGGTGCCACAGACGAGCGGAGCGACTTGTTCAACCTCATCTGACTGCTACCATTCAGCACAGTCAGCCTCAGAAGCCCACTCGCCATAAACTCAGCTAAAGGCCAGCGATTCGCTGCACGTCGGACGGTGCTGGCCTCCCAGTAATTCCTGATAATGGACACCACGTCAGGCAAATAACCCAAGTTATTTATCCGGTGTCTTGAACAACAACATTTTTGTGACG